TGCACTTAAGCAGATTGCTCATCTCTACTGGACAAAAACCCATAGGCCATGGAATAAATATGTGATTATGAACAGTATTTTGATATTGTGTATAACCATCACACATCCTGCTCATGCATTCAGATTTTGGAAAACCAAGCAATTTCTTGGCACACAGTCATTTTGTTTATAATGTTTGTGTTTTTGTGTATTTCCTTTTTATTTCTTTTATCTTATATAATTATAGTTGACTTCTTTTCCTTCTCCATAGCCTGTGACAGTAGTTGTAATACTGGTCTCAAAAGATGTCAGTGTTGGGTCACAGACCAATTGCTGTTCTTATTTCTCTCCAACTGACCAGTGTACCACATAATGCTTCACTAACTTTTATACATCTGCTTCTACTAGCTTCATTTATAGTAAGTGCAAAGCCACACATTAATTGCAATGCATATGTGCACAATAAAATCATCAATTAAAGTGCAGTGCTATACCATTATTGTTCCCCCACTATAGTTTGCAACAATAGCTGTGAAGCTGGTTATACAATAAACATTACTACCTGTGCTTGTTCACTATCAAATATATGTGAACTGAGTCCTTGTCAGAATGGAGGTAGTTGTACACTTGCTTCAGCTCCTTCTAATTACACCTGTGATTGTACTGGTACTAGCTATCAAGGAATTAATTGCTCAATACGTATTTGTAAGTATTACTGGTTCTCTCCTTTGTACCTTCTACACCTCTCATTCAATCTCTTTTAATTTCTGGCTGATTGGTTTGATAGCTCAAGTCAAGATACTGTACACATGATTGAGTACTGCATATTTTGTCTCACATACATTTTTTGTCATGCACCCAAATATTTTGCGTAATTATTCCCACTCTTTCCTTTCTGTTTTTTCCTTCTCTCATTTTCTCATAGATAATTGGAGTATAGCTGCCAGTAAACATGTCATTGGTATTGTTATATATTGATATATTATTTTGGTATTGATTCCTATTATTATTGTCTAAGGCATTGAGATTACAGTTATTTCTAGTATTATTATTATTGTTATTATGATTATTATTACTACTATTGTTATTACAATTATTATTATTACTATTATTAATTATTATTATTATTGCATTGCTGTATGATGTTATTTCTTTCCCTTCTAGCTGATGCTTATGATTTACTATGCTTATTAGTTCATGTATACTGATTCTGATTGTTGTGTAATGTTTTGTCATTGTGATGTAATATGATGTAATACTGTTTGTATATAAGTGTATGCTCTTTTCATTTTTGTCAGAAGAGATTTTAGCCTTTTTACAATAATCAATATTTACAAAATACGAAGGTCAAGCTCTCTCCATTCGGTCACTACACTGGCGACGAGGGTAACTGGACTACTTTGCTGTTTCTTCCTACTTCTCACTACTTACACTATGGCTACGCACGGCAAGATGTCGGCATTCGATGGTTCCAAGGAATCTTGGACTTCTTACTCCGAGAGACTTGACTTCTACTTCAAGGCTAACAAGATTACAGCAGCAGAATCTCAGAAAGCAGTCTTTATTACTGTGATAGGACCTAGGACGTACGGGCTACTGAAGAGCCTACTACAACCAAAG